TCCCTTCAAAGGTGGAATTTCCCCACAAAATTTATACTGACCCAGGTCCCAGGGCAGGCAATGATCAGTCCTTTACCAGTGACAGGTTTAAGGTCCAATATCTCATGACTTTAGGGGCAGAAATAGGAGCTTTAGACTGTATCAGAGGGGAGATTCCCAACTTCCCTATTTTTAAAAGTTTCTAAAACGTGTCAGTAATAATTTTTTCCACCCCTTCAGAAGCTTCTTCATTTGGACTGTTGACCCTGCAGGAATCCCATTATCTCATGAAGTCTAATAGAACATCCCAAATAATGAACTTTTGTGTCTTCTCCAAGCATTTCTGATGGAGCTGGTCTAGAATTTTTTGGCATGAGTCTCACGGACCCCTCTCAGCGCTGCCATTAGTGTTGCTGAGAGGGAGTTCAGCCCTTGTGAGTAATTCCTTTAAGTGCACCCTGGCTTTCCATTTTCTCCAAATTGTTACATGCCATATAGAGACACAGCACACACCCTTCATGACTACCAGAGTCCAACTGGAGGAAACAGGTCCAGTGACTACAAAGAAATTCATTCTGTTTCTCTTCTAAATAAGTCCTGCACACCACTGTCCAGATAGCAATTAGTTGGATGTAGTAATACGGACCTGTCTGGACCAACAGCAACTTAGTGTTGCAATCTGGGGTGGGGTACTTCCCCTTCTGCTTTCCTCCGTCCTCCTTCAGCAGTCTTCCCTCCCTTTTGCTCTGCCTCTACCCTGCTACCGGTAAAAGGCTATTTTAGAGAGCAGAGGCACCGATGCATCTCAGTGCCTATTTGCCAGCTGCTAAGGAAATACTATACAGGGGAATCTAGGAATGATGATCCTTATATGCATCAGTCCCAACAAGATGTTGATGGACTCCTCTGAGTCACCAAAGCAGCTGGAAATGAAGGATGCTGTGGCTGTGTCAGAGTCTGGACAACACCAGGTCTAAAACAGGTTTTTTATGCAGGTTCTTCAGTGTGTAGGAGGGAGGTAGTACCAGCAGAGGAGGAAAGGAGAGATAGTGCTCTTACTTTCCTGCTTTTTTTCTTTTAAGTAAGCAGAAAGACCTGACTGCAATAGAAGCTGACATCCCTTGGATTAAAACTTTGACCTCCAGTGACCTTGTCAGCCTGTGATTCTTGGGCATGTTAGCATGCTGTCAGCCCATGGGAGAGGAGTTTTCCCCACTTCCTCTTGGGAGGAAGAACCGCCTTGTGGTCTGGGAATTCCAAGTTCATTGCCATCCCCAGCTGCTGAGCTGGTGCTTTTGCCTTTTGTGTGCAGAGCTCACTCTCTTCAGTGCTGCTTCCCTCATTCAGACTCCGAATTGCAAGTTTAAAGCAACTGCTGTGTGTGAGCATTAGGGACACCTGCCTTTAGAACAGAGCTGCAGTGGCAGAATATTAGCAATGCCTAGGCCCACAACCTCCTTTTGAGGGCTTGTCTACTCCTGGACATTACCTCTAATTTCAGCCATCTGTGGCTACCCACTCATATGCAGTCACACCCACGTAAACCTCAAGTGTCAGCAAATGAAGCTGCAGCTTGCACTGGGGGAAGCTTCATTCTCAGCTAAAATTAGGGTAAGTCCTACCTGGACCTAGAGCCCCTGCACTCTCTACCTCAGGGATGTGCACCTCAGTCACTGGCTGGCCACAGATGGCTCAAGTTATGGCAAATTCCAGAGCAGAAAAAGCTTCAACCTGTACCTGCTTGCTAAGCACAGTTCAACACTGACTGTTCACAGAAGTAATTTAAATGTTTATTCCAAACCCTGAATGGTGGGAGTGGGAGTGGGTGGCAAATATCCCAGCTCAGCTTTTCCATGGCGGGGGTAGAGGGGGTTCAGCATGGGAAAAGGGAGCAATCTCTTCACTTTTATGCCACCACAGGATAGGATTTTAGCACAACTCATACTCTTGAATCATCTAGGGCCAGACAGCATCCATGGCTCAACTCTGCACCTTCCCCACTGATTTCACTGGAACTTCACTGACCTTTAAAAAAATCTGGGCCTTGGAAACATTTAAAGATCTCACCAGTGGTTTCAAGAAGAAAAGTTTCAGGAACTCGAACTACTGGTTCTGGGTGAGCAGAGTTAAAAAAGTAAAAAGTCACAGGTGCCTATATAGCATGAGAAGGAAACCTGGGGTGGAGAAGGAGAGAAGGAAGGAAGGAGATTTGGTAGACAAAACAGCAGACCTAGAGGTTAAAGAGAGGAAGCTGCTTAGCATCATGGTGATCCAGGAGTGGGCAAACTGCTGATCAAGGGAGTAAAATAGTTTAGAGGGATCAGGCTACAGTTTATTAGGGCTCTGCTCTTCTGTTCTAGGATAGCAGATGGGTGCTCACCAACTTTCCAAAGCTTCCTTTCATTCTAACAATACTGATTCTAGTTGCCTCTATTTCTTAGGCATCCATCTGGAGACAACTTAAAAGGGGCCCGATTGTCATGAACAGCTGAGACCAGACATTCTGAAGCTCACAATGCATCAAGTGGTTTTAAGCATGGCTTCCAAAATCACCATTCACTAGTGATTATCTTGGCTGGTGAATGCTGTATTGGTCATTATTACCCAGGACTATAACAGATGAATTTTCCCTTCCTTGAAAGAGGCTGGCACCAACCAGCACCATATCATCTGATATCATATCTACAAGCCAGAGCACCCACACAGCATTCACCAAAGAACAAAGGAGATTATGTTGGACATTTCCCAGGCAACAAGACTCTTGTTTCTGTTAGTCTGCTGTGTCTCTCCCCACCACCTCTCACGTACAGGAGACAGTAAGAACTGGTGACTTAGCTCAGCAAGCACTTCTCGTTACGGGACAGAACTTCAGAATGTCCTTTCCCATGGGTCTGCAACATGAGGTTGAACTTCCCAGGAAAGAAAAATGTCAGAGACACTAAGAAAACCTAAGGCCTCTAATTTTATCTAAAGTCACTTAGGTACACTAATCTTTTCACCTCTGAAATGCCAAACAGATGAATAAATTTAACTAACATCTTGAGGATGGGGTTAGAGGTTTCATAAACTTTTTGTTTTATTTAAATCCCCTATTGATGCACACTACTTTTCAATGCTGCCTCAGGATGGTAGCGAAGCCTAGGAGACAGTTGAATCACCAGCAAACATGAGTCGCATCATGGACCAGTGCAGATAATCTGTGAACAGTTAAATGACATTAATACCTTATCACAATACAGGGTGTTTCATTTACTAGTTATTGAAACACAGAAGGGAAGTTAAGCCAGGTCTGAATAAATTGTAGGATTAGGGGATTGTGGGGTTTTAAGGCCAACAATTTTGAAGCAATAGGTGTCTGGAGGTACTGTTTGGAATTCAGGTTCAGACCTCTAAATCCTGGATCAAGCATTCAACAAAGAGAAGGCCCAATTTACCCAAAAAGCTGTGCATCTATCCTTTTTAAGCTAGGACATTTATTTTAGGCGAGCTAAAATACCTCTAGGAGCCTCATGATTCACCCCCACTTTCAGTAATGCTGGATCAAGAGTTCAACAAAGGGAAGGCACCAAAGAGACTGTTAGGGTAATTAGGACAAAACCCATGTTCTTCTGCTCCTGGCTCACTACAGCCCTGCTATATCACACTGGGCAAACCATTTCACCATCCTGTGTTTCCTTTCCTCCTCCCATCATTCTCTCCATATCCTGGAAACTCCTCAGGGAATGAACTCTTACTCTTTGTTTATATATTCTTTGCCACACTAGGGACTCAGGCACTATATTCTTCCTCCTCCTGCTACCATACCAGTAGCTTTGTTTATCCAGATACAAATGGAAATGAAAAGATGATAAGCACTGCTAAAACCTGGATGCTGGCAGACTCGTACAGAAGATAATATGATATTCTTTGCCTTTTCTTGCCCAAAGAGATATTTATATCTTTTCTGGCACTGCCCCCAGTTCTAGAAGACAGAGGATATGTTGTTTTTATAGCCCTGGAAATGTCTTTCCCCTTGAAGATGCCATTCAGGTGGCAAACAGCACTGCAGGCAGGTTCATGGAGATTACTCTAGCAGGACAAGTATATGTGTCACTCAGCAATCACAGCATCATAGAGGTAGAAGGGACCTCAAGAGTCATCCAATATAACTCCCCTGCACAGATACAGGATGTGCTTTTCCTAAACCATCCCAGACAGGTACTTATTCAGCCTCCTCTGGAATGCCTCTAGTGAAGGAAATTCCTTAACATCTCTGGGAAGCATGTGCTATTCTTGCAGCTCGTCCACATGCTTGATATAGGATTGTATAGTACCAATTAAGTCTAAGAAACATCAGTAGCATTTTGCAGATCAATTCTGGTTATGATAAGCTTTGAGCTGATGAACTTGGCCACTGTGAAGATTATACAGTTAAGAGAAACTCAAGTGATTTTCAGGGTGTCCTCAATAAAAGGACTCTTACAGCAGGTGACAGTGAACACAGAGCAGCCTGGTCAAAGGTAGGTAATAAGCAACAAAAGAATTTATAACATACAAGGAATATTTATGCTTTAGCATGAGAATTTTGAAGAAATCCACAGAGGTGGATAGCAACGGTCCTTACAGCCAAGATAACGAACCAAAAAAAAATCCTGAATGCTCATTGAAGTCTTAACAAAGTTGAAGTGAAGCTGCTTTTGCCCTGGACCACACACTACCAATACTTACAGTAAAACAAATTCCTAAAGCAGAATGAGAAGGGTTTCATAAACCAATGGTCCTTTAGGGACTTTTTATGCCACCAATCATATTTTAGCAACTAGAGAAGTGGCAACATTTCTCTAGTTCTTTAGGAGGAACTTGTCCTGTTGTCCTTCAGATTGCATTCCTCATAGCTGAGGAAGAAAGCGCTGAATGACTTCACTCTGCTGAATGGGATGAAGAGACCAAAGTCTTTTCTCATATACCAGTTTGCTCTACAATGCTTTGTTTAAAACCACACTGTACTATAATTTCTTAACATAGCAGACCAACCATCTTACCCAAAGCTCTTTCATTTTTAGAATTCTGCTGTCCTCCGGTACTGGTTGAAAGGTCCTCAGGTACAGGCATAGGCTCATCTACATCATCTGGGACATCACTTATAGGAGGACTTTCCTTGCCTAGTGATAAAGGAAATAATGTAAGCATACAGCCCCGTAACCAGAACAGCAAAACACAGCCAAAATAAAACCTAGGTTTGATCAATAGACTGCAATGACTGCACATGGCTAAAACTTACCCCAGAACATAGCCTGCTGTCCAAGGAAGTCTCCGCATTAATACAGCAGGACAGGAGTGCAGAACTGGGAAATGTCTTTCCTAAACTTCAGTGGGAACACACAGGCTAGAGACAGACATTTAAAAAGCCTGAGCCTGAATAGATTAAATCTTTGCAGGTTAGTCTAACCTGGCTAGGCTAAATCAATTTTGTAACCAGACAGACATCCCAGAAATGCCAGCACATGGCTGTAGTGGCTCAGGCTAGAAGCCGGAGGCACTAGAACAGCCCTCCCTTCCTTCCACAGCACTAAGCTGAGGGGGGCATGGCCAGGCCTCAGCAGTATGCTCCGATTAGCCCAGCAGGGAACTGATAACACAGTGTTTATCACCCCATTAAGAAAACAACAGAGGGACATTACCAGCTACCTGTTGATTCTACTTGATTCAGCATGGACTATTGCCAACATGGCTAATACACTAGACACCTCTCTGCAAGGCAGAGGGGAGGGGGGAATTCCTGCTTAGTAAGGGGTGGGGAAAAGCAGCCCGCAGTCTTGTGGGAGCTGCAGCCAGGGATCCTAGAGGGTAGGGGCCAGCTCAGAAGGCATGCCAGATGCTGAGGGAATCTGGTTTATCTTAGACCAGCAAGGGGTCTGGGGACAGACATTGCATAAACTGGTGTGACCCAAATCAGTTAAGTCTGATACTACATTCAACCAGGCTTATCTCAAACCAGTTTCAGCCATTTTCAAACTGGTTTATGTGCACTGAACATCTGTTCTGTTACAGGTTTAAACCAGCTTCTGATCACTTAAACCGGTTTATGTATAATGTCTGTCCCTAGTCACAGGAACTGACTTCTGGGGTTGTTGGTCCCACCTTGGATATTTATGACAAGTACAAATGCTTTTTTTCAGCTACTAAATGCAAATGATCCAACCCTAGAACACATGTACTTACAGACTGTAAAGGCAACTGTGTGATAGCTTTTGTGAAAGCTTTCCTTGCTTCTATGGACACTACACAAAGATAAGTAGATTTTTATTTCAGCGCTAACAGCTTAGTTTAACAGCAAAGTCAAACTTACAAATTGTCTCAATGCTCAAAAGGCCCTACCTACTTTTGTCCACAACATGGCTTTGTTCTTAACCACAGATCTACTACAGGCCTGAAGATTGGACATACAAAACTCTTTGCGTCATCAGCTCCCACTGAATTCAGTTGTTTAATGCCTTGCAGAATCTTCACTGCTGCCAGGATCAAGCGAAACACAGCTTTGTGACACTTCAGGTATTTTATGATCACTGATTTGAAAAGAAGGACAAACTCCATGGCAGTGTACAAGCTTTGGTGGTATAAACAAATCAGACTCTGCAGTAAGTTTTTAATTAAAAAAGTATGCTTTCAACTTGCAAATGCAACATGTTTTAAAAAAAATAAATTCCCCTCCTTTTATGGCAATTACAGCTTCAGCTTTCAGTCACTGTAAGTACAACACTGATGATTAGGCCTTTGGCTTTCTTTATTCTGCGGAGTTCCCTTTACAATGGTTTTAAATGTTATATGACAAAGATAGGCCTTGTATTACTATAGCAAACTGAGTTAACGGAGAGGAATTCAGTCCAGTAGGATTAAAACAGACTACCTAGAGAAACTGTGGAATCTCCATCCTTGGAATTTTTAAAGAGCAGGTTAGACAGCTATTTGGCTGGGATAGTTTAGTTGGGCTGATCCTGCCTGGACTAGGGGGCTGGACAAAATGACCTTGTGAGGTGCCTTCCAGCCATACTATCCTACAATCCTAAAATGTCACTCTCTGATCAACCAATAAAAGAATGAGATAGAACCTGGGCTGGGGTCAGTGCTTATTGATGCTGACACAGCCACTGACTTCAGTGGAATCACTCCTGATTTACATGCATATGAGATATTCATTGCACCATGGTGACCCCCATGCCACAAGTCACAGGACATGAAGCCCCAATGCTAACACTGTCTCTCATGATGCACAGTCAGTGGCTCCTTTCTTGGCATAAGGTAATGCGATTCCTAGTTTACAGTAATGTAATCCTAAGAAGAGGGAAAATTAAAATATGTGTAGTTTGATTAAATGATATATTGTGGTGATGGAGGCTGCAGAATACCCGGAGTTGGAGAGAGAGAGAGATAGGAAATGATGAAACTGCTTCCTGTCACCCTTTTGCCTAAGGCAAAAGAGTCACATCCTTTGTCTCCCTGACTGATGCCTGAGCATGGACTTCAGAGGCAAGGCAGATGGAAGGTGGCTTTATGTAACCTTTGAGCTATTCCTATTACTTCTGGCCCTTTCACAGGTCTGCTCAGATCAGAGCTGCTCTCATTTAACCAATGCTTTGCAGCTTCTTGCATGGCTAAGAATAGCCATGCATGTGCTCCCACAGCCAAGAGAGACTGGGGACTGCACCATCAAGGGTTTGGTGGTATAGGTTCTATCAAACACTTTATAATATGGGTACTTCTTTTTGGCTTTCTGGCTCCCTGACTACCAAGAGCAGTAAATGGGTCAGATCCCTGTGGATGCTTTGGCCAGAAATGTATATATAGCCAAAAATGTACAGCCATAAATGTATAAATGTATTCCCTTCACAGGGGATGTGCTTTCAATTAACTGTTCTTTCTCTTCCCTAAGGACATTGATGCTTTCATGAAGATCATCTAAAAGTATCTAAATATGAGGTAGAAACAAAAGAGTGGTTTTGGACTGTTTGTAGGCAGGTACCTAGGTTTAAACGAGTGAAATTAAGAGGACTTGGATTAGTGATGCACCTATGAGATTGTGGAACAGCCTCTTAAAGGAAGTTGTGGGAGTAGTGTTAAACGAATCACTTTAAACTCTGGTCGCCAAAGGACTTCAGGATAAATATAATCTTGCCCTGAGAGAGGACAGACTAGAAGAGTTAATAGACCTTTTTTATCTCTAATTCTTATGCATTGTTCATAAAGAGAGAAATAACAGTCACCAGTTGTAGAGGCAAAGCTGAAGGTAGGTTAAGGAAAAGAAGAGTAGAAGCAAGAATTTAGTATCCAAAAGGGGAAAGGAGAAAGTAAGCAGATGGACAAACTGTTTCTGCCATGAACTACACAGCTCCTTTGTTTCATTTAGTCCCTGCTTAACAGGAAGTAAGGGACTTAGGCATTACCGATAATTTTTCTCCTGCAAGTAACGATTTGCTAAGATGAGCTGTCTGTTCTGCAGCAGAGTCAGGGGCTGGGGTGACATAGCTGGAACATTTGAGCTTTTTACAAAACAGAAATGTAACTGATTGGCAAGGGTGGCTCCTAATCAGCACCCATTTCCGTGATCTTAGCTTTGCCTTAATATGGCTGCTTAAAAGAAAATCAAAATCCATTTCTAAGTGGAAGATCCACACTGAACTTCAACTGGACCAGTTCAAATCAACGAATCATAGAAACAGGGTGGAAGAGATGCCAGGAGGTCATCTAGTCCAACCTTGGTCAAGGCAGGATTATTCCTGTCTAAACTAACCAAGTGCTTTTCAAGCCTGTTCTTAAAAACGTCCAGTGATGGATATTCTATGCAATTTAAGTTAGTGTAAGATTTAAGAGAAAAGCTATCATAAAAAGCTCTGGCCATGTGCTTCTAAAAACCAATTAAAAATAAACTGTTGGATCCACAAGATAAGAAATAAAAAGCATGAAACCAGAATATTATTACCCCAAAGTTAGGCATCCTGTTTTACAATAATCTTTTTGGGATACAGAAAGAATAAATATAGGCCAAACACTTTGACATCTTATGGTAAATAATTTGTATGGCCAGATGCATGCAGGTGTCTGCTTCTTTAACTTCACTGAAAAGTACACCAGATGCCCAACTGGGGTATACTGGTTTGCACCATCTAAGTCAGTGGTTTTAATTTGTAGAAGCTGAAGGTCTGGGGTATTTCTCTGTTTTGGGGGACTGGAGGTCAGGAAACTTGACTTTGCAAACTTTGCTTTAATAATTCTTGTCAAAGAAGCTTGGAATTTCTTCATGCTGAACATGATAGCATAATCTTTGTATCCAAAAAAACAGGGTAAAAATAGGAGATGTAAAATGGATATGTTTTTGGAGCTCTTTCTCTTGGATTCCAGAGCATGATATTTCATATTTCATGCCTTAACTACATCTAAATTGTTACACCCTGATAAGTTCACGACTGCATGGCAATCTTACAGATATGCAATCTCGCACTAACATTTTCCTGCAGATGAATTTAAAAATGGAAAGGGGGAGAAACAGTTTTCCATTTAATTTCTAACAGGCATGTCCAGAATAATAACTGGTGGAAGGTATGCAAAGGTAAAGCTTGATGCTGGTACTGGGGAAAATTGTTAAAATGTCACCAAGCCATCTAAATCCCACACATTTGCTGCACTGCGCTACTTAGTTGTGTGAAACACAAACACATACAACCACGGCAGTCTAGCCTCTGAGTCTTTAACTATGCAGCAAGTTTGTCATTGCTGACACAAAGCTTCGGTGCACAGGCCTGGGATTTCTGGACAATGTGGCCTCTGTTCTTGACTCTGCTATTGACTCATTGACTGATGCTGGGTAATTTACCTAAGCCAAAAGGTTCAAATTTAGGCATCTAAAATTAGGCAACCAAAAACACATTTAGGCTCATAAATAAAGCCTTAGATGGCTAAACCTCACCATCCACGTGTAAAAAATATGGCAGGAGGGCCTAACCCTTTTATTTTGCATCATCAGTCCCTCAACTTATCTGTACCTGTGTAACCCACAGTGGGCACATCTACATGTTCATTACTGCACCTTAGACACTGTGCATTTAGTTTAGTACTTGCTTATTAAAAGTACTAACTAAATGCACAGTAACTGCAGTTACTGAGCAGTAGCACCGGTGCATGGTTATTTTGTGACATTTACTGCACATTAGCCTAATAACACTCCACAGTAGGCTATTAGCCTGGTTTTTAACCATCATGCTACTGAGCAGTGTTATTAGGCTAATGCGCAGTAAACGTCTTATGTAGATATGTCTAGTGTTTAGCAACCAAAAAAGATTTGTGGAACTTAAGATCTCAACTCTGATGGCTCTCTACTCCTCATGGGATCAATGAATACAAAGTTTCTCAGGCACCTCCATGGAGCTCTTTTGATGTTCTTAGGTCCATGCTTGCAAGGTGCTTGAGAGATGCCCAGAGCTCTTAAAAATAAACCCTGAATGGTTCCTTTTAGAGATAGTGATCTGTCTATAACATTGGCCAAGTGCTCCTAGAGTTACTTTCAGTGATAATTACATGGGCATTAATGAAGCCATGTAAAAAGTAAAAAGAGATATTCTCCTGTGATCTAAGATTACAGACCTAATTCTCCTTCCATTTACATCACTTTTTTCACTAGTGTGACGCCTTTCACATTGATGCAGTTACTCCTAGGTATTGAAAAGAGAATCAGTTCCCTGACTGAAGCTGAATGCCCAGCCAAGGTAAGTCAACACTGAACAGTAGGGGAGCGTCAGAAACAAAACTGTTCTCCCTCTTTTCACCTAGGCTTGCTTGAGGTGAAGAATAACAAAAAGTAGTTCTTCCGGAGGACCCTCTGGGTGACAGTGGCACAAACGCTTGCACTGGTTTTTTGCTCTTCCTCAACTGTTAGACCCATCTAGAACTGAAAAAATAAAACAGCAGGAAAAATACTGCTGGTTAATTGAGATAGTATCTGTGTTTTCTGATTCTATTGTATGGGAGCCAGATACTGTTTGGTTAAATATGTCAGCTCTGTCTTCATTTCAGAACTGCAACTGCTTGCCTCATGAAATATCACTTTCAAGAAGAAAAAAACATGAACTCTGAGCTTATTGTATGGCCTTTCAGTTCCTTTAGGAGCCAGTGATGACTGAATTCCAAGAAACAGGAACATTTGCCAATATTGAGGGCCTGACTGGCCTCATGTATGCTGACCTGATTCACTGCAGCCACGCCTTGCTGCAGTTACAGCTACGGAAAACAAGTGAATGCAAAATGCTGCTGTTCTGGTTTGAGAAGGCTCTGACACCTGCTGTGCACATATGTAAGTAGTTGTACAGAGGGTAAGGGCAGTCGCAAATAAAGCCCTGTGTTCCTGCTGGCTCCGAGTATAAGATGTAATAGAGGAGTACTAGCAAGGCCATCAGTGTACACAGATAGAGCAGCCTCCCCCTGCAATTACACAGGTGAAGACTCCCAGCAGCCCAAATGGGGCAGAGAAAAGTGAAACACAAGAACCATAACTCCTTTCCCTCAGCCACACCCATTGGCCAGCAGTATACCAGCTTTCAAGGAAGAAAATACAGTCACTCTACACATCAAAATGCTTAGACTGTAGGACATACCTACTGGGCTTAATCCAGTGGGCTTTTTGCCTCCAGAGTTCACACACAACTCAGACCACAAGTTAGAGCAATTTTACAAGTGGCCTTGTGATCACATTACAAACCCACCAAAGAGCTCAAACAAATTTACAGTCACAGAATCATAGAAAAATCAGTCTGGAGAAAACCCTAAGAGATCCTCTAGTTCAAATCCCTTGTCCAAGTCGAAGACTGAAATATCAGCAGACATTTGTTGGCAAGTTAAAGCAGGAAGCGCATTTACTACAAGTAGATTATATTGGCCTGCCAGTTTTGCGACATCTAAGATTCACCTTGGTCTGCTTTTTAAGAAAAGAGAAGCCTTTGTCACGCCAGAAGAATATTACTTCCACCAGCTTGATTACCACAAACACGCAGGAATGGTGGGAAGGGAACTAAAGGAGTACAAATTCTTCAGCATTTGGAGATCTGGAAGAAACAGCATGACTTTCCCTCCAATCTTCCCCTCAAGGTAAGGCAGGCTAAATAGAAAATAGGCATTGTGGTCTCTTTTTCCACGAGACAAGGCAGCTTCCAGCCCCATGGAGAGCCAGCCCTTCTATACTGCTCCTATACATGGAAGCATGACTTGGGTAAGTGATGTCACCTCTGGCTAGTCACTGCAAGTAATGGCAGGTGTGAAGCTCATGATCATCCTGATTTAAAGTCTATGAAATTGGGTGTGGATACCCGATTAGGTATGTGCTGCCACAGAGGAAGAGAATGACACAGATTCTGCCCCACCTGACTTCAGACTCCCCAAGCCAGGAAAGCCTGGTCACATCTTAAGAATCTTGACTCCATAGGAAATGTGGGGTTAAACCCCCTTTTCCTTCTTTTCCTGTTAAGCAGAAATACAAACTACAGAGAGGGTTTGCTTTA